GAATTCTTAAACCTTTATATTTTCTCTATTTTTGTAACAAAATAGCAATTTAAAATTTAAAAATCTTTTAAAAAAATTACATCACCTTCAACATGGAAGATCTCACTGTTTAAATATCCGTGAAAGAGACATACTTGTTTGCATATCTGTTCTGGAATTACATTGTACAGCAAATAATAGTATCTCAGAAGCATTTCAAAAGTAATATAAATTCGTATTTACAGAATGGTCTTGGTATAAAATATACAACAATCATATTTACGTCTAACATTCTAAGTTAAAGTTAACATCAATAGGAAATAAGTTAAGGTGACAAAGGTGGTCTGGTTCTTGTATCCATTCACTTCAAGTTGCAAGTGAAATAAAGCATCAGTCTAATCCTAGCTATGAGGTGGTATAGCAACAGCCAAAGGAAACTAAGAAAAGACTACGTGACTGTTTTTCTACATACATTCCTTTACATTTGAGTATTAAATAGATGTGTAAGATCTTCCATACTGACACCAGAATATCAAAACTAACCCTTGGATTTTCAGGTATATTTACAACATAATTATTTCATGGACAGGTTCATTAGGAGAGATATCAAACACCAATATTTACTTCGTCTAATCAGTAACCCTCAGGGAAATGCCAACCCCCACCCCCCAGAAGCGTGCACAAAACAGTTATCAAAATCTTAACCTACCACATAGCTGTGATTTTGTAAAATAACAACTCAGACGACCAGTAACATGATCCTCTTTAAGCGTTTTGCTAGCAGGAAAAGCCCTTACATGCAGTACACCTGGTGAAAGATCAGCTTGGCTTAAAATATTCCAGTACAATTTTCAGAGTAAACAACTTCACAGAAGTTAATAAAAACATAAAAAAAAATGTAAAACTTGTCACAAAGAAAAGTAAGAGGACAAACAAGAAGATAGTAATCATCAGGAAGGAGAGTCCTGCTTTCTTTTCCAAAAAAACCAAAAAAAAAAAAGGATTTTTAAGCTTCTCAAAAAAAATATGCCCAGGGCTCTAGTTCATGTGTATTTATGAAAAGCAATTTTCAGTTGACAGGTCTAATATGATTCTCAGTCACATCTTAACAGGGCATAAATTCATACACTTTTCAGTACTCTCAAGGTCAGATAATGCTATATTATTGTATTTTCAAGGTCTTTGAAAATAAGTTGCCACTGAACAAGCAAAAATTAAACCTGAATACAAAATTATGATTAACAACATTTAACAAAAGGTAATACAACCACCTTAAATTCCCAATATTTAGTTTAAATTAAAAACAAAACAGTACAAAAACCAGCAATACCATCTTGTTAGTCAGTGCAAACACTACATACAGGGTTTTCAAAGGAAAGCCAAGAGCACCTGATACTTTTTGCCAAGTCATCTGGATTCTATAACCTCCAAGTTGAGAACTATTAATAAAAAAAGGAAAAAAAAAGAAAACACAAAATTGCTGTTACATAGTGCATAACCTCTCAAAATGGTTGAAAATTGTTTCACGTATAACTTGGGGAAATCAATACCTAGTACATTAG